TAGTTTTTAAAATCTCCCTTTGTTCCTAAACAAACATCAAATTCACTATTTACACGGTCAAACTTAATCTTCTTTCTTAACCTATTTACGCTAACCATTTGCTATAATAAAAGAATCATGGCACGTCTTATTTTATTGAACTTTTGTTGCAATTTTAAATATGTAAATTTTGTTTCTAAAATTTACAAAAATAATTAAATAAGTTGAAAATTAAAATAAACATGGGTCAACCATAAACTAAAGTTTATTTAGTGACAAAGAGAGTATATAAAATTTACTTTTAAATTTTTCACCAATTAATTAACAAATTGAATGGGAAAAAATTGGTCAAACACCATGAACCATTATGGGATGTTTTTTGGGATAAGGGAGTATGAAATAGTCTTAAACAAGAAAAAATGGCCTATGAGCCATTTGCCAAACATAGCCATTCAGATTTCAGAATGCCATGGGATGATACTTTGTGCTTCTATATTTGAGCCAGGGGTCTTTGAAAACAGTATTTCTACTTTCGAATAGTGGTAAGGCCTGCCTGCGTACACACACATCTTTGTGGGACACACCCTATAAAGAAAACATGCGAGCCTTTTTGGGATAGATGAAACGCATTGTGCTCGATCCTACAAGTGAAACCACTAAAGGAATATCTTAATGTCTTACACAAAGTATCATAATTTCTTACTCCTAACGAAGACACAAAATCTGGCCTTTTTCATAAGAAAGGCATCATCCTGGTGGTACAGTTTATCCGCTAGGATTCCATATAAAGAATTGGTTTCAATGCTACATTGAAAAACTAACCCTGCTAGAGCAGATTTTCAAGAGGAAAATCCTCAAGAACCTAACACATTCATGACCTAGTGTATCCACGAATGTGGAATCTATCCACAGTGAATCCACGAATATATACACAACAAATAGAAGGGAGAATCATGCTACGAAACACTCAGCTAAAATTGGGCATGAAATCCGCATTTCACACAAAATTCGAAGAGAAATCGAGCCAAACTGAGAGTAGATTATATACCTTGAAATTGAGCCGATGAGAGAAAAGGTGAGGTCGGAGAGAACCGAACGGAGAAGAAAGCCTTGAGCTTCTGCCTGCGAATCAGATATGGAGGGTAGATCAGATGGGAGGGAGATTGGAATAGAAGTTGGAGTCTATGAGGAACAAGGAGTAGGAGTAATTTTTTTTTTGACATTTTTTTGTCCCTTTGTAACTTTTAGTAAATTTTACTCCGGGTAATTGTTTGGTTATTTTGGAATGGCAAGAATTTCTTACCTTAAAACTTCGAGACATATTATGACCCGGGAGGTTTAAGATACTTCATTAAATAGATGGTTTTATCTCATAATCCTTCCAGACTCTATTCCACTGTTCCTACCTGCCCACGCCATCGCAACATTCTCGTGCCTCCCTCCTCAGCATTGTAGCCAATCGGCGAAACAGAAAGGGGGTAAAGGTTGCTGAGATGGGGTGGCAGGTAGGGACTAATGGGTAGAGTTTAAGGAGAGACTAAGAGAGTAGGAATGATTAAATTTACGAATGATATGACTCGAAGAGATCTCGAGACATAATATGACTCGAAGTTCAATGGTCAAAAGAACCATTTTGTTTTGTCTGGAACATTTGATTGACTAGGTGGAGCAATACCGGATACAGAATATATCATATGCGCAATAGTGATTCACCAAAATCTTTTGAGTTTATTATAAAAGGTGTTCGATAATTTTTTATTGCATATCTTTTTTATAAATTATTTAACAAATTAAAATATTTTTGTCCCGTCTTAATTTATGCGGAGTATAATTTTTTATGTAATTTTTAGATATGTAGTTTTAACTTTTTATTTGTATACTAATTTATTAAGAAAATCATTTAAACAAAAAGATGGAGTTTTGCCGATAAAAACTAGATCAATTCTTTCATGGTTCTAAGGTTCATACTTAATATATGGATCTTGAGAAATGGAATGACTAAATGTATTGAACTTTATAAAATAAAAGAGATCCATAAAAATGTGAAACTGTCTACACTACACATTTGGAATTTTAAGACCACGATAGAACAACTTAAACACAAAATAGGAAAGTTTTGATGAACGGAGCGAGATAAATTTTTAAGGAAATACCATCTTAGTCTTTGTGTATTCATTCAATTTGACTTTTTTTAAAAATCAAATTAACCAACTTTGAACCTCAATTAAGTAAAACTGTAATATACTCCAAATTTTAAAAGAAAAATAATTTCTTTAAACTTATATTGTGAGAACTTTCCAAAATTTTATTTAATCATAATAATATGCAATATATATATTTATTCAATTTGACACAAAAATTCAAACTAGATAAATACATTAAGACAAAGAATAATACTCGATCTGTATATCTTAAAAAACAAGGTACAAAAGTATTACTCTATAATAAGACATTATATTATTGAAAGTATTATTTGATACAAATATTATGATATAATTTTTATTCTGTATATTCAAGTTTCTTTACTATTCAAATAGTTAAATTTTATTCGCCTTTTTTATTTTTATTAATTATTTGATAAAATAATACTTCCTCCTTCCACAAAAAAAACTTCCTTTTGCGCGTTACGATGTTTGACTAAAGTTATTTTCAAATAATTTAATATGAAAAAGGATTTGAATTTTAAAAATATTACATATTAAAAAACTATATTAAAAGATCTACAAAACTAGAAATAACATGACTATATTATTTTATCAAATAAGTAACGAAAATAGGCCAACAAATTGAATAAAGTGTGATCATGTGAATAGTAAACGAGAAGTTTAATTGTGAACGGATGAAGTATAACAATGTCACATCAAGTTTCTTACATAATTTGTTGTTATTTTTTACTTCCTCCATCCCAATTTGTATCGCCTTTTTCAGTTTACGATATTTGACTAAAATTTTTTCAAATCATTTTATATAAAAAATGTGTAAAATTAAAAAAAAATACATATCAAAATACTATACTAAAAGATCTACAAAACTAGTGTTGACATGACTATTTTATTTTATTAAACAACTAATGAAAATAAAGAAAAAAGTAAATGAAGTTTTACCTTGTAGATAGTAAACATGCAATTTAATTTGGGACATAGGAAGTAATATGTAAAGTTTATTATTTATTTCTCTCCGAACTCTCTAATAAATTATATTGAAAATAACTTAAAGTCAAATGTCATAAGCTGAAATAAGTAATTTAAATTACGAGGGAGGGAGTGGTATTTAAAAGTAAAAAATTGTAGACACAAGTTGTTTAAATGAGAGAAACATTGTAGGCTACGAGTACTTATCTATTTCTTTTATAAAAATGCAAGAAGTGAAAGGTTTATTTTGGAATGAAGGAAAAAATATTGTTCCTTTTAAGACAAATGGAGTATGGCCCCGTTTGGCATCAGCGTCAGAGATTAGCGTTAGCGTTTTGAAAAAGCTATCCGACGGTAGCCTTTAGCGTTAGCGTTTTCAGAATTAATCTGCACCGTTAAAATTTTATCCAAAACGCTAACGCTAATCGAAAACGCTGTTACCAAACAAAGCCTATATTTATGTGTAGTAAATCAAATTTTGGACAAAAGCAGCTACTTGCTCCATCCCCATGTATTTGTCCACATTTGACTTTTGGAACTGTTCATCTAAGCACTTTGACTCATCAAATTCTCTCAATGTGTAAGCCTAAATATAGTCATGTGTGATCTTGTTTGATTTGTATTAACATATAGATTATTAATATATAATTTTTATAATTTTTTAATATACAAATTACAAGATAAAATGGATTAAATAAGTGCATTGGATGGTGTGTAAAAATGAAAGTGGACAAATACAAGGGGACAGAGGGAGTATTATACACTTATTAAATAGTGTTTCATTTATTCTTTTTGGAGAAAATACTCGTTATGTTGTATTGAAATAAACTAGCCGTTATAACTAAAAATGTGAATCGACTTAGTCTCTTCAACAAAGTTTTTTAAGATATTATTGAAAACACTTAAGGCTTGTTTGATGAGCCTTGTAAGTAGAGTAGAAAAAAAATGACAAGGGTTTTGATATCTGAAACAAAATCCGATGTCTCATTGTTGTGTTGATGTGAAAGAAACGGAAAGTCCGACTGACAATTGGCGACAAGAACAAGGTGGCATCACCAAGTCCGACAGACGATGAGGACCAATCTAGCTGGACCCTGGATAGCGACTGGCACCGGACTCCGACTGTGAACGGAGCCCGTTCTTCGAACCAGATGTTTACAGGACACGAGAATCTCTCATCATATCACTCACTCACTCTATAAGAGATAATGCGAGCTATTTTAACAAAACAAACCCAATAAGGTTCCTGGAATTTTGAGCAAGAGTTTAAGCCTATACTCTTATACTCCAGTCTCCCACAAGTTGGAGACTTTACATGAATGCTCCAAAAGATTGCATTTTTGTTCACCAAACTCCTCAAAAGATATAGATTTATGCAGTGGAGTATTTGTGTAAAACCCCTAAATACTGAGGGGATTCACAATGATTTTTCTGAAGTTTATTCGATCTTTGTATGTTAATTAACGCAAGAAGTCACAAACAAACACAGATATAAGCAATTGTCCCATTAACACTAATCAGAAAATGAAAATGTTGATGTAATGCAATATGGAACTAAGGAATCTATATCGAGATTTTTGTCATTTACCTGAACTTTTAGAAAAATTGGGCGAGTTCACCCGATCTTTAAAATTACACCAATGCCCCCTCAACTTTTACACGCTCATCAATATACGTTATCGGATCTTGACGAAGAGGTCATAGATTAATTGAATGAAGAGACTGATTGGTGATAACGAACTTTATCTACTGATTCCGACCTTCAAATTCGGTTATCAAAGATTAAAGCAAGAATTTTTAAAGTTTTTTCAGAGGTAATCTGCGCAATTTTTGAAAAGTTCAGGAGGAACAACACAAAAAACTCAATCTATTTCAGTTCATCATGAACCTCATAAGAACATTCAAAGACCAATGTGATCCATTTCCTTTCAAATTTTGAAACCCAAACAATGATATGCTTGTTTTTACCAAATAAAGCAGGCATAATCACACAAGACTATGATAAAATTGCATTAGATAGAAGAATTTGACGGTTCTGGAAGTAAAACCAAGATCAAAAGGTTGAAAAAAACTTGTCAAAATGCTCAAAAAGAAAACACAGATGTTTGATTCAGATGATAAGAACAGACAGAAAGCATAAATCAAGGAGCATCAGAAAACCTAATCGAGAGAGGAAGCTCCCGCTGCTGCCGCTACATCCTCCACTGTAAATTTCCCCTTCTCCTTACCAGTAGACCTTCCCTTCGCCTTCCGATCAAGCAGATCTTTGCGATCCTTGTCCAGCTTCAGCTTGGTGACGACGACCTTCGACGGATGGATTCCGACGTTGACGGTGTTGCCGTTAGCCTTCTCCCTGGTGATCCGCTCGATGTGGATGACCCACTTTTTGCGGTAGACCTGGACGATCTTCCCCTCTCTCCCCTTGTACGTGCCGCGGACCACCATCACCTCGTCGTCCTTCCGCACCGGGATGGAACGGACGTTGTACTTGCTCCGGAGCTCCGTCGAGAGCGGCGCGCTCATCAGGACACGCCGGACGCTGGACGGCGCCGTGAAGTGCGCCTTCCGGCACTTCCGGCGGGAGCTCGAGACGCGGGGATTGTACTTCATTGTTGGCGTCGGCGACGGCGTCCGCTCGGCTGAGAGTTAGGCGATTAGGGTTTTGTCTCAATGGTAGGGATCAATAATATAAAGCCGCGGGGGTTCCGCGTATTTCTTCAGCCCATGTAAACAAGTCGGGTTCTTTCTTCGGCCCATGTTAAACAAATTTAAATTTGTTTCGGTTCGAAATCAGAATCTTATTTCATCCGCGTCCTAAATGAAGATTTTTAGTTTGATATGAAACCAATTTTAAGTAAGGTGAAAATGTGTGACTAAAAGAGATCTAAAAGAGAGATAAATATTGAGTCACTCAAAATTTTCAAAAAAATAAAAGAGTTGACTTTTTTTACACTTCCAAAAATAAAATGAAAAATCTTTTTTTTAGACGAAAAAGAATGTTCTAAAACCAGACATTAACAAAATTCAAAAGCGCTCAAAAACTGGATTAAGTCAGATTCATCGAGAAAAACATCTTATTAAGATTCTCAATTCAACTACCGGTAGTGATTCGTTTAATGCTTATTTTCAATTTATTTAATACTATAACGAGCAAGGTACTCTGTACCCGAGTAGAGTACCTTTTCTCACATAGTTTTCTTTTTTGTGACGTGGAAATTTTTTAAACCAATTTATGGAGAGAGTGGAATGGAGGGGTGGGAGAATTAAAAAATAATAACATTTCATGCACAAAATAAATTCAGGCTCATAATTCATTTTTATGAAATTCGAGTACAATACAATCAATCAAATTAGAACCAGAAAAAATGGAACAATTTTATGGACCAAAGTGTTTGTCTTGAAAACAACATTATTTGGCATGGAGAGATGAAGGTGTAGGCCTGATATAAGTGAACCCCCTGAAAGGGTTTTCACATCCTTTTGGGCTGGCAGCTGGAGAGTCCGACAGGGGCATTCCGGTCCATTGCGCGTCAAAGTTGGCAACACAGTGTTTCCCGGCGACTTCGGGACAGAAGCTGGGCTGGATTTCCCGAGCTTCTAGTTTCTTCCAGTTGATGGGCTTCAACCACTTGTGGGCTTTTATCTCGTCACTGCCTTTCGGCCCACTTCCCAAGCGCTTCTTGGCGTCCTTCTGTAGTAACTGGAAGGAATTTTTTTTAATATTTTAGCATGATTTTTTTTACAACAGAACTTGGAATAAATATAGAAATGAAATTACCCCTTTTAACAGCGAGTGTGCGTCACTGGACAAATATTTGGGGAGCTTAACTTTATCCTTTATGATCTTCTGCTGAAGACCGTGTCGGTTACCACAATAGGGAGGCTGCATTGGGAGAAAAACAAGTCGTTTATCGAGAAACTAAAACTGCACTCTGTATATATTTAGGATGTAGGCAGAAGAGAGAAATAATACAAACCACACAACTCTTCACTTGAAAGCATGAAACTTATCTCGGGATGGAAGAGAAAAGTATGAATCTTTTTTGGGACAGACTAAAAAGAAAATTATGAAACTCTTTTGGGAGAAGAATAAAAAAGTTGTAGTTTCCCAAGGTTAAAAAATTATATCTTGACTGAAATTATTTTGAGGGGTGGGTGCAAGGGAGTACAAGTTAAACTCTAGAAAATCATGAATACCAAAAAAAACTAACCTTTCCAGTGAGCATTTCATACAAGAGAATGCCCACACTCCACCAGTCTGCAGACTTATCATGGCCCTTCCCAAGAATAATTTCAGGTGCCATATACTCCAGTGTTCCACACATTGAGTTGAATCGCGAGTTTTCATCAAATTGCTTTGCAACACCAAAGTCAGTTATTACAACCTGCGATAAACACACCGGGGCAGATAAATTTGAAGGCAAGTCCAATTGAGAGTGAATAGCCGCTTAGATTATAAAATGTTCCATTCTTCAATTGAGTGGGGGGTATTTCGTCACACATTTAAATATTAAGAGACATGTGGGTTTATAATTCCTTAGATTAGACAAAAAATGCTAGGATTAAATCTTTTAGCTTAGTTTGATCCATGTGTCTACCAAAAGTAGACAGTTAATTAGATTCTCAGAGTGAAACTCTTTACCAAAGAACTAAATACAATTAAAGGAACATGGGACATTTAAGCTTCACTAATCAGAGAAAGAGAAGGAGATACTAACATGACCCTCTGCATCCAGAAGTATATTTTCAGGTTTAAGATCCCTGTGTACTATTCCTTTTTCATGGAGGTGGGAAACAGCAGAAACAATCTCAGCAGTATAGATGCGTGCTAAATCTTCTCTGCAAAAGAACACCAAGTGTTAATAGCTCATAAATAACGATATTCCCACGCCCTTTATACTTATGAGGAATTAATAATGCTACTCCAAGCATCCCAAAAAACAGAGGCATGTTCAAAATCTTATTTGTCCCCAAAAGATAAACTGTGTGAACGAAAGAAGCTAATATTCGTCGTACTTGATGTGTTCTATTTAAAAAAGAGTCCCAAACAAGTTGAGTGTGCTAAATTTAGTAAAACCAACGAATATAGTCAATAAACTTTAAAAAATACATATATTTAATGATTTTCAATACATGTACCATAGTAAAATGAAAAGGAACTATTTTCATGAGTAATATAGAGGAAGTATTATTATATACCTGAACAAGCCTTGACGGCAGAGTTGAAAGAAAAGGTGTCCCCCATTGACAAAATCCAAAACAAGGTAGAGTCTATACTTAGTCTGCATCAAAATGAAATTGTTTAGAGCACATGTCATTGGCTATTCAACTCCCAAATATCAATAAAAATAAAGGGAAATCACAGTTTTTGTCCCCCAATTATTCGAGATCAGTTATCCTAGGACTTGTCTTTCACTATCTCTAAATTTAGTCGTTCTATTGTTATAATTTAGGTATAATTACTCATTCCCATTAAAATGGCAATATACACAGTTAAATACAGTGTGTTTATATTATTATAGGGATATTTGCAAAAAATATTATTGTTCTAAACTTGTTACATGCCGCTTGTTGTAAGTTATTACCTGAAAAGAGTATCTAAGCTGCACAATGAAGGGGTGATCAATTTTGGTGAGTATATTCCTCTCACTGATCATATACTCCGTATGACTTTTCTCCAAAACCTTGTCCTTCCGCATGACTTTCATTGCAAAGATTTCAGATGTATCAATCTTCTGCACCTGATAAACTTTTCCAAATGCACCTTGGCCCACAACTTTCAAAACCTCAAAGTCTTCAAGACAAACAACTGCATTTGTCAAAACCTCATCTTCCTTAATAGTAGAGTCATCATCAATGACAGATTCATCACTGACCCCCGCTACAAGTTCTAAAGAGTCCTCATTCTCACGTAATGTGAGTCTACTAAGCCTCTGTGTAGGGTTAGTACATGTTGTTGGACCAACCAAAGAATGAGAACGAGTGTGTATTATTGGCTGATCCTCATAAAGAAATCCATCTAAATCTGGTGCTTGATGTGTAAAAGGACCAAACACATCAGAGAACTCCAACCCTGCATCGTCTGGCACTATGACATCATGTGGTTTTAGTGATATCTTCCCTAGAAGTTGTGAGAATGCTGCGGAAACCATGGTGTACTTAAGAGCGAAAGGACCACGTAAACTTTGGAGAAACTCTCCACCGGTTCTTCCTCAAGAACAAAGGTTACAAAGGAAGAACACCTTACAACACCCTGAATAGAAGATAATTCTCAAATGCAACAACGTTTCCAAAGGACCTGGGGAAGAAGAAAGACGAAATCCAGAAAAGGGTGATGTGTTTGTTTCCCGCTTTAGAGGAAACAGAAAACAGAGCGATGTTTCTCCAATTCATGAAGGTCAGACCACAATTGGCTGCAACACATGAAAGCAGCACACAATTAAATTTAAAACCCAACTAAATGATGCAAAACTTCTCATTTATTGTTTCATTCCAATGCTATAAATGATTTAAAAAACAACTAAAGATGCACAAAAGAAGAAGATGGTGATGATAGTAACTTATTATCAAATAAAAAATGCAAATGTTAAAAAGAACACAAATTTCTAAAGTTGCAAGTGTTGGATTGTCCAACACTAATTAAATAGATCATAAATTTCTATTTATCATTAAGCAAGTGATGGGTACTCTTCATATCTTCTACAACACGGTTATGGCCGAGATGGAACAACTCCAAACCCAAAAAAAAAATCTTTTTAGAGGCGACTATCTTATTAACACATTGAATCATTCATATTTATCCGGACAATCCTTATAACAAAATTTTGATAACCCAACACATAAACTGACAAACTCCGCAGAACCCCCATCTCCTTAGTTTAAACACAAATGAAATCTAAAACGCATCATAAAACTTCCTGCTTCTTTTTTCTTAAAATCAAATCAACAATCCAATGTTTTGACCACAACTCGATCCAAAACCCAAACGCGCAATCAAAACCCCCAATTCTCGTTGATTCTCTGTGAAGCCAATTGATCCGATTCGTTCAATCATTACAAAAACAATCAATTCGAACAAAATCGGCCAAGTTCAAACGCAGATTAACCTCTGAAACTACAACGAATTGAGAGGCGATCAATGGAATTAATAACAGCATACCTTGAGAAAAATGCAGAGGGAGCCGTGGAAAGAAAGGAGAAGAAGAGAGGCGATGAATTGGGACGGAAGAAAGAAATTCTTGGGAAGGGATTCTATTATTCGTATGATCTGTCAATCTGCTTCGCGTGGCCGCTTTTTATTCCTTACGGAGTACTCCGTATTATTTTATTTTATTTTATTTTCCATGCAAATTTACAATCCCACTTAGGATTGGGTCTCTATTATTTATATTCCGTAATTGATTTTTGTAATTAAGTTTAACTACTCCGTAGTAGTTTTTATCATATTTTTATATAAATATATCTAGGGCTATTAACCTATTATATCATCTAACAAATACTGTGCAAATCTGCAAACGTTTTCGAACCCGATTATTGAGGTCGCCTTTCCTCTCTCAATTTCTCGTCGTTTTTTTATTTTTAATTTATTCATATTGGTGTTTGAACTTTAGTGTTATTGTCTTTATCCTCGTCTCCTAATAGATCTATGACTTTATTTAGTGTCCGTTTGGTACACAGAATTGATTGAATTGAAATTGAAATTCCATGGGATTCAATTCCATATAATTGAATTCACCAATTTTGATTCATTTTTTTCATTATCAATTCCAAATCCACTTAATTTTTGTGCTACCAAACAATAGAATTGGAATTTAAGTATTCAATTCCAATTCCATAGTTTGAATTTCGTGTACCAAAATGGGCCTTATTTTATTGGATAATGACAGGGTGCCACCACATGGTGCTACCCTGCTTGACACAAAGACCGATAATTGTATGGTCCTAATAGAAGAATGAGGATCAAATTGATCTAGGTCTTTATTCAATATTCTAATCTTCGGCATCGTCTCCTTCAGATTTCAGAACAACTTCCATTTATGTAATAAGAATTTTTTTTATAAAAATGAAGTGGTCTGTTGATTCAGAATTTTAAGATGAAAAAAATGTCAAAAAGGAAAGTCTTCACTCCACTTTTATGTCTTTCCTTTTCTGGTGGATTTATTTAGCTTAGAATCGGTGTTGATATTTAAAGTAACAGGTAAATAAATACATAAAAAATACCAGGGAAAAAAGAAAAGAAGAAGAAGAAGAAGCTCAACCTTATAAATTCGACATCTCTTAACTATTTTGATATGTAAATCTCCATGTTAGGTTCATGGGTTAATTGAATTGACCGTCTCAAAATCTGTATCTTCTTGTTTGTTGGTTAGAGACAGGCAGGCAGGGAGAGATGGGCAGTAGATTCGGATATGCATATCGTCATGAGTTGTGGATGGATGATGAGATAATGGAACGATACGAGCAGGAGTGCTACTGGTCACTCCCAATGGATTTGGTATGAGTTCAGAACCAAGTTCGTTGTGGAAGACGAAGAAGGGACACGTACACTGCCACCTTTGACAGGGCAATCCAGCCCAAGATTAGAGTGGAAAGTGTGGAGCAGGCAGGGGTGGGATCTGATGGATGTTTGTGGCATTTGCTCGCGCGGTGCCACAGTTGGGGATCGGATAACACATCTCAAATGTAACCACGCTTTTCATTTGCACTGTGCTGTGAAATGGCTGATGGGTAGCAAATTCTGTCCCTCCTGCAATGCCCAAGAGTACAGGTGGCCTCTTAGTGACAAAATAAATGTTGCTGCACAGGAGGTGCCCCAGTCCTGGCCCCATCTTGAACTGCTGTCCCTTTGATGGTGTGATGTTGCATGCTATTTTTTCTTCTTCTATTATAGGCCTGTTTGGATAGCGTTGGCGTTTTGGATAAAATTTTAACGGTGCAGGTTATTTTGAAAACGCTAAACGATGCTCGTAGGTAGCCTTTTCAAAACGCTAACGTTGTTTCCAAACATGACCTATATGTCCACCCGCGCCTATTTCACCTTAACCTCTTCTTGGATTAGCTTGTTATGTTAGACTTGATACACAATTTTCTACTCCCAAAGTATTATGAACTGTTTGTCATCATTATCTCACTCCTATTTGGATGCACTTTAGGGGACTTCCCTAGTGTCATTTGCGCCAATCATCTCATCTTCTCTTTTTTTCTTTGGGTGTACCTTTTACCTGGTGTTGCCACAGCGTGTCTCGTGGAAGTGCCAAAGTTATTGATTAGTGAGTCTCTAAATTTCCTTATGTACACGCCTGTTCATACGGAATATATCCGGGGGAAGCAAAAACCTCTTAGGTTCGAGCGCATCAACTAAGTCCGGACCGAGCAGGACAACGCGCTTGGGTGGAGGGTCGCAACAAACAACGGGGCCTGAAACCAAATCCCGTATTGCTGTTGGAGCACGGGTCAGGGGCCCTTGAATCTCCAAGTCTGGACTGAGAATGACGACTTAGAGACATTGAATGCAACATAATGACGAAAGGTCTCGTTCCACCCCTCTTGATCCCCACTAAGTTCGGACCGAGTAGGACCACTAAATGGGATGAGAGTCACATAAAGGAACGACACCTCAAATATTAGGGTGGACACGGTATGGTTCCAGGACGGTTCTGGTTCCGAAGCCGCCGTTTGACTACTAATAATAATACGATTTTGGAGCCGCTCCTTTGTGCATGCATTGAATGAGTAGCACGAGTCAACATATTTGTCTTCTAAATGTCTCATTAACAAAGGCACAACCTCCCGTGAACCAAAATTTTTCTTGCATCTAATCATAACGTTTTAATTTTTCAATTCTTTCCTAAATTTCATAAAAATCAAACAATAAAACTTTTAACGGGGTGGAAGAAGGACTTACGTACGAGCGTACAATAATTAATCTATATAAAACATATCACTAGTTTCCTCTCGAAACAAACCTCGTGGTTTGATTTTACGAACTATAAAAAAATTGTATAAATAAAAAGTTATTGATTGAAATTTTATTAGAGGGGATAGACCACCGTCAATCACATTATTCATTCCTAAATATGAGAAAAAATATAAAATTTATTTTGAAATATTTAGTAAACAATGTTTTCAATAGATATGAGAAAAATATAAAATATTTTCAGTAGAAAACGGGTTGCTATCCAGAAAGGAGTGGCGGTGCAGCTTGCCCGTTTAGATATCACATTGATTTGTAAATCGGTGTTTTGGAATAACATTACACTAGCACATAAACAAAGCAATTTTTTAGAAGGGATAAAATAGTTCAATTAATTCAATTATTAGGGTAGGCATTTGGATTATTGGCATTGATTTCATTAATTATTGTTTTCAACTAGAGCCACTTATTTCAACTAGTGGTGTTTATTTCTTCGGAATTATTGATTTCAATGTTGTTTTCTCCTCCAATTAATAAAATGTATCTCAAATTCTAAACTCTCCAAAAATAAAGTTCACTTTAAATAAAAATTGAAATGAGTGGTCTTGAATAATTCTCTCTTCTAAATGTGAAGAGAGTATATTGAGCACACCCAAAAAAATTACTCCGTATTTTTTTCTAAAACATTGAAAAAAATTAAATGTGATTTTTAAAATTTGAGTTAGAGGAAATATATATTTTTCAAGATTGTTTTTTTTTGTGGATCCTAAAATCTACGCACTATATATTGTGGACCTCCTCGCACCACTAAAAAAATTAATTTTATTTCTTGCAACAAAAATGTACATTTGGGACTAACAATATAATCTGTGGCACATTGTCAAAATTTAGATATTCTCCATTTTAAACAATCACAATTCAAATAAAATAATAATAATAATAATAATACGGAGTAATAATAATAATAATAATAATAATAATAATAATAATAATAATAATAATAATGAAAAGAGAGGCAATTTTATTTAAAGAAAATAGAAAATGTAACATTTACTTACCATCTTACCCGTAAGTCCACATAAAAATATACGCCCTTCGTCCTTAAAAGATTGCCAAAATTTGATGTTTCCAGTTAAATTGTGGCATCCATGGAACATGAATTAAGTATAGTGTAAATTTTAAATATTATAAAATTTTGATATTTCAAAATTGTATTTCAAAAGAAATCTAATTTTCCAAAATTTACATTATTAGTAAATATATTTTTTCTAAAATTTGCAGTAAATTAGTGTGACCAAACTGGGATAAAAGTGGTAAACAAGCAAAGTAGGTGCCGCAATCCTTTTACATTTCCCCATTGAAACCAGCAAATCATGCATCACCAAAACTGGTAAACATTTTCACCAAGAAAATCCACATTAACAACAACCATTTTATTCCCGATAAATAAAAAAACAACAAAATCAGAAAAAGAAAAAAAAAAGAAGAATAACGGCATTTGTTGGCAGACGGGTTGAGCTAACTCAGTCTGCAAGAAGTTCTCTTGACTCAGTTTGTTCGTACTGAGTTTCCTTCTTCTTTCAATCCCTTTGACTCGTTTTCTTCGCATTCTTAATACCATTATAATCTGTATATATATATATATATATATATATATATTGATATGATTATGGTCAAAGCTTTGATCTTTTCTGTCTCTCAGCTCTCTGAAAGGTATGATTTTCTTTTTTCAATGAATAATCTGAAAAATCTGGGACTGGGTTTCTAATTTGAGTTCATAGGGTTATGTTTTTATTTCTTCTTTTTTTAATTCCAATTTGTATAAGTCTAATTTGAGTTCGTATTTTGTTTTTGAATTTGGATTTGTTTCTATTGTTTGAGAGAGAAATCTGTTTGGTTTTCATTCAGTGTATTGTACTGTGGGAAAGCCTGGCCTTAGTTGTTTCCAAATTCTGCATTTTTTTGCCCTTGGTTACATATATTATCAAGAATTCATTGTTTGAAAGAGAGATCTGGGAGATGGAATTGAATTAGGGTTAGGAATTAGGTGAAATCATGTTTGGAATGACCTAAAAATCGCCCGGTTCCCGGGAAAGAATGGACCTTCCGGGTCTCTATTTTCCGAATTTGAGAGAGTCGAGGCGTAGTTCATTGGAATTCTTGTCCTAACCAACAAAGACAACGATAAACCCAGTAGAACTTCATAGAAAATAGAGTATGTGGAGGATGTGTATACGTACGAATACTTTGCGCTTATTCGAAAGTTAAGAGGTTGTTTCCAAACAAGGCCTTATTTCACTACAACCGGAGAGTCTCTTTGAACCGTGGTCTTTTGGAAATGAACTCTTTACCGTATAGGGTATAAGGGTAATGGTCTGCGTGCACCCATCACATTGTGGAACTTCACTTGGTTGTTTGTTGATGGATTTGCCCCCTCCACGAATCCGCTTTCCCCATGCAAGTGCGGGCCCTCCTTAGCCACGCCAAGGTTTTTTCCCCATTGGTAGAACCTAGTGTGCCTTCTAAGGAGCGCCCCACACTTTTTACAACATTGCACCTTGGTACCACACCTTGTGTCCTTTTTGGCCATAGAAGAAGAGAAAGTCATTCTTTTCTTTCTTTTATTTTTGGTAGAAAAAACAATAATCTTCTGGTTTTCCTTCTTTTCTTTGGTGGCTTAAAAGAAGAGAAGAGACACTTTTTCTCCATGAATCTAAAAGAAAAAATATTGCTTTTTTTAATATTAATGTTTTTCCAGATTTTGACTGCCCATATGCTGCAAATTAGTAGCTTTGGAGTGAAATGAGTAATGAAATGAATGCTAAAGTTCGAACGGTTAGATGCCCGAAATGCCTTCATCTTCTTCAAGAGCCTGCAGATTTTCCTGTCTACAAATGTGGAGGCTGTGGCACAATTCTTCAAGGTCATCATCATCTTGATTATCATTACCAATTATTATTATTATTATTATTATTATTATTATTATTATTATTATTATTATTATTATTATTATTATTATTAAATTTCTCCATATGGTCTTAACTCACTTTTTTGTGTGGATATACAGCTAAGAGAAGGAAAAATGATAGCACTGATCCTCAGCCCTCCTGCACTCCTGTAAAGGCAGAACAGCCTCGGAGTTCAGCTGAAAATGAAACCAATGGGCCCCACGAAGAATCGTCTCTCTCCCCTGAAAGAGACGACACTTTGAAGGGCAAAACCGGCATTGAAAGGAACCAAGACGAAAAGGAACAATGCGGAGGCGAAAAGCTTCCTGGCTCAGAAAGCCAGGAAAGTTCGTCCCCGTTTTGCCCCTCCGGAATCACACGCGAGCTCGAGAGCCCAGAATCACACAAGTGTACAGAAGCAGCAGATCAAAGCCCCGCAAACGAGAGCGTGTCATCGGAGAACACCACGCGCATTCGCCATGAAAATTCCGACAAGGAAATTTCCCGGGGTTTGGACAGAAGCTTTTATGATTGTTATGATGGCAGTGCATCTTCTTGTGATGGGGAAGGAGAAATCCTCAGTGTCGATAAAGTCCCGTTTTTTATGAATTGCCATGGAAGCCCTTCAACTTCTAGGAAATCAGACTTCGGGCCACCGAGCAGCGGGATCATAGATCCAGAGCCTGACAGGATGGAACTCGTGAGGACGATCTATGAACTCGAGGACCAAATCTGCAAAATGCGTCTCCAAAGTGTAGCAAATGCCAACAGAGATCCTTTTCACATGAATACAATGAATTCCCGCGGTAGCCCTTCAACTTATAGGAAATCAGACTTTGGCCCATCCAGCAGCACGGTCGCTGCTGATCCAGCTGGACCTGACAGGATAGAACTCTTGAGGAAGATGATCTATGAACTCGAAGACCAAATCGAGAAAATTCGTCGTGGGAATGGAAACTGCCTTCACAGTACATATCATTCAAGACAATCTCAAATTCCGAGAATGCCCTTTTCGGGAGTGGTCCATCGTTGCTCGGCACAGCTTCCCTTTTCGGGGGAGGTCCAGCATTGCTCGGCACAGCTGCCCGGGGGTTGCATTTACTGTAATACCCCTTGTTCAAGCTCACCAAGTCCTGGGCATTCCTCTCTGAGCAGCCTGGAGAGATTCCACCTGAGGGAGAAGTATGCTAAAAAGCGCCATCTTCTTCCGGTGGCCAGTGGGGCCCCCATCATAGCGTGCCACTACTGTTCGGAGATGTTAAAGATTCCAGCGGATTTTGGGCTCTTCAAGAGAAGATTCCACCGACTGAGGTGCCACGCGTGCAGGAACATCCTCAGATTCTCAGTTCAGAACGGGAAACACGTGGTCCCGCACTTCAAGGAGATGGTAGCCCCTCCACCCAGCGAGGACGATGACATCAGCAATGGGACCCCGGAAAACGTGGGGAGAGAATCGGCATCGCCGCTTCACCGGCTCATGGGGTACTCCTCGGTCAGTCAAGTGATGAAGGAATGAGATCCATTCTTGTCTCTTGGGGTCTGTTTGGATTGAGAGCTTAGTATATATATAGAATGATTTTTTTAAAAAAAAAAAAGTGAATAAAGGGCTATTGAAATGTTTTAGGATAGTATATAATGTTAATATTCTAGTGTTTTTTAATTTTTTTAAAAAAATCATAATTTTTCAAGATAAAGAAATATAGGCTAAAAAGCCTTCGAAAACATACCCATCAAGGCCTTCCATCCAAACAGACCTGCAAATTTGTGCAATGTAAATTCAAAGGTCCTTTTTGGATTACAAAGGAACTGCCAGTTTGGATTCTCTACATATAGTTGTTTAATTTTTGATGAGTTTGTGAGCAAATGAAATCCATACATAAATTATCATACTCCGAGATTTTTTTTTTAATGTTCGATTTTTAATGGGATCGGTTTGATTCGACTTAATGTGCTGCTACGGGTTCGTTCTCTGTTCGTCTCTGTATGTTCTTCGTTTGTGCAACATTGTCGTTTCTTTCTTCGTCCCTACTAAAGAGATTATCAAAACAAAATCCTCAACTCGGACACAAAAACACGACAAGAATCACAAAAGTAAACATAGTAACATGAACAAATAGTGGCACTAGCAAGTACTAGATCTAAAGCACAAAAATGCACATGTACAAGCTATATATAGACTAAGGTTTAAAAAAAGAACCATCATATAAGTTACAAACTAAAGACCCAAAGGTCTCCCAACTACAAATACTACAGATTATTGAAAAAGAATGTCAAACCATACAACAAAGAAGAACCTTCAGCAATAAAATGAAGGATTTTAAAAACAAAAGCTAGCAAATAGTCAAGAAATGATTGATAGTACCTAACTGAAGGAGAAAGAGAGAGAGAGAGAGAGAGAGAGAGAGCTTACAATGCCAACCAACACAAAGATATAAAGAATTTGGCCACACAAGTGACAACACAAACTCTTCTTCTTCTTCTTCTAAAACTTCCATCTATTGTCACAGTTGGCACAGGTGACGAAAGTGGTCATCGGCTCATCGGCGCTCCGCGTCTGCAACTGGAAGTAGGTGCACTCTCTCTTCCCGCACTTGCCGCACTTGAAGGCATTGGTGCTCGCCACGGAGGGCCCGCCCCTCTGGCTGTTGAACAGTGCCTTCTCCTTTATCTTCTCGTTCTGCATCTTCCTCTCGTCGCTCGCCATGTCCTCCGGGGTCAGTTCCGGAATCGAATGCGGCGGGAACTCCCCGAGGAGCACCCTACGCCGGAAGTCGGGGTTTTTGCTGTCCGTGAGGTTGAACTTCACGGAGCGGTACCTCATTTTGTTGGAGCCTTTCGCGCTGCCCCACTTCTCGAACAGGGCAGTCTCCACCTGTACGGCGACTCTGTAGGGGTCGCATGCGTTGACTTTGGCGATGATGTCATCGTTGCCTTCCGACTCGTCGGAGACTTTGCATAGTGCATTTGCTATGGCTTCCCGCAGCTGGTCCCTGTCGGCATCTTTGGTGTAAATGAGGCCGGAGAGTTTTGGCGGGGCGGGATTTTCTGGTTTTTTGGAGAATGACGGATTTGACCTCTCGGGCTTCACAGAGGGTAGAGTTTTTGGAACTTTATGGCTTCTCTTATCGGGATCCTCGAGATTTTCGGGGTTCTTGTTTTTCACATTTTCTGGCTTTGCTGTAATGGGTGGCTTTTCTGGTTTCTGGTTCGCAGGTTTTTCGGAATTCTTGTTTTTCATGGTTTCTGGTTTTTCTGGCTTCTGGTTTGCAGGATTTTCAGAATTCTTGTTTTTCATGGTTTCTCTTACGATTATTTGCTTCCATATCTCGACTATATCAGAAGCCAAAGCCTTGATCTTCTCCCTTGGGTGTTTCGTTAGCTTCCTAAGGCTTTTCCCAACCTGATAATCATTTCACAAGATTAAGAATAAAAAAAGTATTTGATGGGCGTTGATTTCCTAAAATATACTTGTATAATAGTAGAACATAAATTCCACTAGATGAGGTAACCATTCCAGTTTCATTTAGGCAAGTTGTAAACATGTCCGTATCGAATTCCATTATAACAAATGAGACCACTTCTTATGACACCGAGCCATTTCGAGTCCTAAAGTGCTGCTCATTTGGGCCCGGGATCACGTCCTAGCACTAATCCATCCTGAAATCTATTTGGGGATCTTTGACGGTTGTCGGCTAATTCTGGAGAGAATCAAATCGAGTCTTATATAGAATCGAAATAACCGTTGTCATTGTAGTGAGTTGACAAAGTTACCCATCCTCTTCAGAACCAAATACTCAGGGGTATGTACAAATGACTTTTTTTACCTGAGAGGAGACAAGGACATTGTAATTTACAGGGAACTTTTTCAGCTGCTTCATAGCATCAAGGCACCTTGCTTCCTCTGCATCATCTCCTTCAACGGAAGCCGCCTCAGCTGCCTTTCTCACCACCTCGTACAGCTCAACAAGTTCCTTTTCCATGATTTCTTAGCCTCCTAAACACAAATCAACCGGGAAAAAAATCAAACCTTTTCTCCGTCTAAATGACTCCTAGATACCCGCAATCATCCAAATGAAAACTAGCACACATTTTTATTAGAAATTTAAAATAGAGCATGTAACCAAAAAAGGTCAAATATTTTAAAGGTAGGCTCTGACATAGAGTGAGCCGGGGTCTCTTATGAAACAATATCTGCACTCCCCAAGTAGGGGCAAGGTTTCCGTGCACACTCCTACACACACCCTCCCCAAATCCTACTGTCTTTTGGGATTCTACAGGCTTTATTTTTGCTTTTGATTAGGGGTAAAACGCCCATACTGATTGCTAGTGTGTTTGTAAAATAATTTGTTGTTTCAGAACTCAAATTATGGCAAAAAAGATGTCTGTTTTGTGGTTGTCAACGACAAAATTCTAACTTGAAATGTATTTTTCTTAAAGAATGTTCACATTTTTTTCCAAAAAAAAATCTCATTGAACTAACAATGTTGACATTTTCACACCATAAAGCCCATAACCCAGCATCTCCATCTCTGTAAGGTTTTATTTTTGCCTGATAAATAATACTCGTAAAAAAGATCTGAAAAAGGACACACATTTCATAATGTAATACTTCAGATAATTTGTAATAGACAATAATATTAAAAATTAAAAAATATATCTTAAACTAACAGATAATTCTAATATTTTGAAAACAGGCAAAAGAAACACAGATTAATAAGAGAACACAGCGAAATCAACTGGCTATGAATTTTTTTTAAATAAAAATCAGAAATTTGAAAACAAAGAAAACACCAATTCAAAAAACATGTCCTAGACGTAAAAAATAACATCTACAGAGTCGCATTCTACACGCACGAGATTCGTAGAGCTGGGGTGTTTTGAATTGGGAAATTTCGACAACAGATCTAACAATCAATCGGCGATAAAATAACAACCAAAAATTGAGTTTCCCCGTGCGGCCAATTGAACCAAAGACTGAATTTTTATTTAAATTTTTTGAAGAAAACAAAATCGATAAGATGGCGAGAAATTGAAAGGCGCGGGGAGTGAATGGAGATGGAGATGAAGCATTACCTGGACGGGACGAGGAGGAAGACGGAGGAATTGAATTGAAGACCGGAGCTCCGAACGGTCTTGTTGAAATCATCTGAGAGATGATTTTTAGGGTGTGAAGTATGAATTAAAGTACTAATTGTGGATTGAATTGGAAGATGGGCTTTGACTTTTGGAATATAAAAGGTGGATTAACCGGCCCAAAACTAAATCCAATGAGTTTGTTTGGCCTATAGAAGAGAAAAAGGACCGGTGCGGTCTGGACCAATCTTTTTAAAAAATTGCTACTATAGAAGACTAGATTGGACTAGTCTGTTTTACGAATCGGTTCTAACTAGTCCGTTCCTCACAACAAAAACAAGAACCAAATAAGGCCGCAGTTCCTATCAAGTCTGGTCTGTAGTCCTAATGTACAAATAACTTATTTTGGTTAGATCCAAAGGTTTTTCTTGAACACAGATTTATAGTGAACAAATTTTGCTTAGTGTAGACTTGTAGTCTTAGATATTTTAGGATTAGTGGTACTTGGTATTCCCTCCGTCCCAATTTAATAGGCATGTTTCGATTTACGATGTTTGGTTGAAGTCATTTTCAAATATTTTATATAAAAAATGGTGTAGAATTAAAAAGTAAAATTTACATATTTAAAAATTATATCAGAAGATCTACAAAATTAGTCGTTACATGAATCTATTATCTTATCAAATAACTCATGAGAATAGGGAAAAAAATTAATAGAGTTTGACCCGGTGAATGGTAAACATGCAATTTAATTTGGGACGGGGGGAGTAATTTGATGGTGTGGCTGTATTAATATAGATTTTTTAAGTTCTTACACAACAATTGTCCAATATTCTAAAACTAAATTTAAGTGCTCATTCCGCGCCTAAAAGATTGACACTTTATGCATAATGAAGTAAAATCTTAAGTTTTTCAATTCATTTTATTTAAAGTTTGGTATAGAAATAAAAAATAAATCTTATATATTTAAAACTACATCAAAAGTTCTACAAAAAAAATGATAAAAATATTTAAGTTTATCAAATAGTAAATGAAAATATAAACACATGTTTTCATGATTTTTGGATGGTGAAGTGTACTGATCTTCTAGAAACAGAGGAAGTAGGTTTTTAGTCATTTATTACAAGTGTATGTGTGTATAACATTTCTAAGGATTTTGTTTGTAATATTTTGTCTCAGTTTAATAGTATTAATACTTTGTAAGTTTACATTTTTTAGATTTTTAAAGTGTTATGTATAAATATAAGTAAAATACGGAGCATTTAGTCTTTAGAGGACTGGTGTTTTAGATTAGTTGTCTAGTCTTAGTCTTTACACTAATCTTTTATCAGCATCGGACCGATTTAAGTCCTTAGCATGTCTTCTACTAGTCTTTGACTAGTCCTCCAAACAAACTAATGGCCATTTAAGACTAGACTAGTCTTCAGGATCACTTCAGTCCCAATTTTTCTAGTCCAAATTCCTATCGATCTGAATCAATCTTTTCGGTCCCGGACTCTTGCTCTTCTCTAACTTAGACGATCCGAATTTATTTACTTGGGAATGATTGTTTTCAAATAATTAACTAGAACATGAAAGTTTAATCAAAGTTTATATGGAGCTATGGGCAAGGCTAACGAAACCTTGTAGTACTAGTTATTGTTTGTGTTATTCTTATTATTTATTATTTTAATTGATTACATTATTTTTATTTATGATCATTGAAATTAGACCAAATTAAAACTTTAAATATAACTAAAATCAGATTAATCAAACATCAATAAAATCATATCAGACGAATCAAATCAGATACAAAGAACAAACTCTTACATTACTCATTTGAATTATCTACCCGCAATAATTGATCATTTCAAAGTTGTAAATAGAAAAAAAAGATCTATCTTAATCTCTTAGTTGTAAATAGGAAAAAAAATCATAGCTGTAAATCATTAGAAAGCAGCAATTTTCATATTCTCTTTTTTTATCCATACAAAAAGTTCACTTTCTTTATGAAAAATATATCTTAAAATTTCCATGGGTAGTGTTTGGGAACTAACATTTCATTTCAATTCATGCAGTTCAATTCTAAAATTTGAAATCTTGAATTTCAAATGACAAGAAAAGGCATATGAATTTCAAATCAAGCTTTATTATCAATGAGAAGAATTTGACTCAAATCTAAATCTAAATTTTTTAAGTTTTCCAAACATGAAATTTGAACTAAATCCAAATTTGAAATCCATATTTCCTAATACACGGTTAGTGTCTTTGGTACATTTATATTTTCATTTGCCAAATGAAAACAAAAAAGAAACTGCTTCCCTGCAATTCATGCAAGATCAACAACCAGATTAAAATAAGCACTCATAAGCTGCAAGTTCTGCAACTTACACGATCAAACCATCAAAAATAGGAAAAAGTTATCTTGAAGATAAAAAGTCTACCCATATGTAGCAAATGACAAGCCACATTGTCTCTTGGGTGCAAGAGATAAACATGGTTTTTATTAACAATGTTAAGGATACCCCTTCAAAAACATGAATTTCAAGAACAAAACCATCCAGAAGTTAGCCCGAGGTAACCACAAAACCTTATCATAGTACTATAACAAGAAGAACAGAAATGAAAATGTATTATTCAACTCGGCATTTCTTAGTTTTTGCTGCAACAAAATTACAAAACAGCTCCCATGGTCTTCTCCTAACCGGACTCACTTTTCTTCTTGCTCTTTTTTCTCGAAGAATGTCTTCCTCAACCAGTCAAATGGCTGTGTATTTTGCCAAAGAAAGAAAATTGCATTAAAATACTACGTATTTACCGTGTTGAATACAACCAATAATATTGTAACTCACAACGCCTGAACGAAAACTAAATTCACTTGAGTGACAACAACAACAACCGAGTAAAATCCCTTAGTAAAATCTCACTTGCATTCGAATGATCAAACCACCCATCATATTCATGATGACATGATGTGTGTAGGGTTCAAATCACATGATAATTCTTTATTTAATGGAAAATGATGGGCGATCACGATGTGCACATTCATCTGAGGTATTTGAAACAGCTGAAGTGTAGAGGAAACTTGAAAATAAATACTTCAAAAAAAATACAGAGTACCAAACCCAAATGGTCGGGCATTTGTGAGTCAGTTTGGAGGGTGTTTCCAGAAGGTGTGTTGAAGGGGATTTTTTTTCTTTTTGTAGCCAAACAACTATGGGTTTCACTTCCCCTAGATGGCTAAACACATAACCGTGTAAACATAGCAAAGTCTAAACCCAGTTCTTATTTAAACTCTTTTTTCGGATGCACCAACCATATAAACAAGAAGAAAACACTAAATGGCAGATGAATCCGCAAACACTATGACTCTACAAGGTCCTATACTCCTATTTTCGTTAGAGGTTACAAAATCGTAGCTATCACGGTGCCAAGGTGAGGCGCGGCGGTGGGATACCACCAGGACCGCCAGGACACCTAGTCGACTAGGAGACAATTAGGTGACACATAATATAGTAGAATTGCTATACATAAAAAAAAACTAATATAAATATATCAAATTATATATTGCAATTGGTAAAGCTTAAAATTTTCAAATACATCAAAGTTTAACTACCAAAGTTACTTTTAAGTATTTTCCTAAAAAAAAGATGAAAAACGCATTACCGACTTAAGTTGGTAATAAATTAATCGTTTAAAATAAAAAAAATTAAACAAAAGTTTTAATTAGGAAGATAAAGTAGGAATAAAACATTAACTTGCAAATAAATTAATTTATAAAGCATTATAAAAACAAAGCACTGGAGGCAGGGGTATAAAACACTTTTAATACATAAAGCACTGGAGTAAAAATACAAAAGTACTGGACTAGGCGAGGAAAGGCGAGGCCTAGGTAAGGTATGCAAAATAAGGTGAGGCGAGCTCTCATGGAGAGAGTAGAAGGGCGCCTAGACGCCTAGGCGACGCCGTGATAACTATTATCAAAATTCCTTAGCCATGCTTGAGAAGAACAAATTTATATAATCATCATGTCCCATGGTTCTTTTGACCCCAGTATTGTGTGTCAAATTAGATGCTACGGTGTTTTGTTGGGCCCAAAGTGAATCCTACACCCTAAACCTAGTTTTCCAAGAGGCAGGGGATGACAGGTTTGTGAGGGTTAAGGGGTACGATCCGCTTCGGAGTTCAACAAAAAATGTCGGGTGTTAGGGTAGGACACACAAGGTTGGTGTCAAAACAACATAGCCCATCATCATATATAGTATATATGTAGTACAAGTTTAAGAAATGAGTCAAATGACAAAGTTTTTTTTACAACACACATCTCTAACAAACTAATCATATAACCCTGCACATTGTCACAGAAAGCAAGGGTTCAGAGCTAAATTCAAATTGCAAATGGTTCAATGGACAACAGAGAATCAATGAGATAATTCCAATGAAGAGTTCATCGTTTTTTTCATAACTATTTAACATTACCCAGATCAAGCAGATATAGCGGATAAAAATGACGAATATTTCCAAAAAAGCAATGTAAAGTGAATGCGCGGCCAATAATAAAAGCAATTAACATCAGGCAGATAATATATGCGGATCTGACAATCACGAAGCGGCGAAGGTTGATCCGAACCTGGACAAGGTAGATGGCGCCGGCGGTGGCCGCGACTCCCCACGTGGCGGCGGCCTGGACATCGGTGAATGACGGACGGAGGCTGGGGCGCAGGAATTTGAGTAGTCTGTTCGTCATCTTCAATCTCGGTCAACCGGAGAACCCTAGCTTTTGAATTTCTTCTTCTCTTCTTCCGATCACTGGAAATCACGGAATCTCAGATTTGTGGAAGAACAAAAATTGCCCCGATTTCCTTGGAATATAGTAATGGATCCGAATAATTTTGTTACCTTGGACTCAGTAGGCCCAACAAGTCTGTTTTCAATCTATTACAAATATCAAATTTGACCCGTTACAGTTGGGCCTAGTAGCCTTTTAACATGGGACCATATTACACGAGTAATAAAAACATTGCCCCCAAAAAACATATGACCCTCCCGAAAGATATGGTTGATTGGGTTAGTTATTTTTAGCGGTATTTGGTTTTTGGCGTTTGAGATGACTTCTGATTGTTTTAACTAATTTTACTGTTTTGAGTGGTGGAACCCTCATAAATAGTGTCATTTGGGGGGGATTGGGTGTTTGGGTATGAAAAACCAAAATATGAAAAGTCAATGGGAGTAATCTTTCATCTTGGCTATATGACAAAATTGAATATTTTTTATTAATTATCCTTGTATGTAATTTTTTATAAAAAAAATCAAATTCTATTAAAGTACCACTTCCAAAATTGTTCTCTCTGGCTTTTCATATTTAGATTTTTTAGTCTTTAATAACCAACTATTAAATACTTCATTTGACTATTTGATTAGTCGAATCAGTGAAAAACCTTCCGAAAAACTAGGTTCCAAACATGGCCAAAATTTTAAAAATTAGATCAAACAACAAATTGTCATAGTTATTAATTTCCTTGCCTTGTACTCCTATCAAATCAATCGAATGACATTACATTTTAGTGTCATTATTTATAATTATACCTAGTTCTTGATATCACGCCTATTCTATACGACTCATGGAAGAATACATTACAAATCCAAGATCGTACCCGCCGAGTAGGGATACTCAGCCTTGAGGGTGGAGCCACCCCAACTCACTTCGAGTTTGTAGCTAGGACAATGAAGCTTGGGGGCTATTGTTGGTCTTATTCGTGTATGTGGTAGCCGACCATTGTTTGTTGTTCAACTTAAATAGTTAGTGTTTGTTTTATGTCTTTTGGGTAATAGTTGGGGAGAAAGACCAAAGTAGGACTACAACATTGAATATATACCGAAATAGGACTTCAATATTTTTATTCTCGAAATAGGACTTACATTACCAAACATGGTCATGTACATTACCAAAAAAATATAGTAATGTGCACATGTACAGTGTCACATTACCACAATGCAAAGTCCTATTTCGAGTGGGGGAATATGAAGGTCCTATTTTAGTACTTTTCTCTATGTTTTAGTCTAATTTAGGGTGATTTCTATAATAGTTGTGGAGTAGAAAACTCAATTTGTTGGCGAGGCTCTTAGTTTGTTTCTTCATAGTTGGTTATATTTGGATGCTTGGGCATGCTATACTCAATGTCTAAATATACCATATATATATATATATATATATATATATATATATATATATATATATATATATATATTCATACATATATATATATATTCAAGTGAGAATGCACCTTGGTAAAAGAAATAAGAATAAAATCTAGCCTTTGGATCTGATGAATCGTGCGGCTCAGATTGCATCATGCACTCAGATTTTGAGATAGTGCATTTTCTAAGGATTTTGGTGCATTTCGACATGATGCATTTTCAAACCATTTTGGTGCATCTAATTTTGATGCAATCCTGACCCTTAGATCTCATAATCTAAAGCACCGGATTCATTCTTATTTCTTTCATAAGATCACATTCTCACCAGAACACACACACACAAATATATATATATATATATAGGAAAATTTACCCAAAATAATCCTAACTTTACCCGGTTTTTCAAAAATAATCTCACCTTTCACTGTGATACATAATAATCTCAACTTTAATGAAATTTGTCACTTTTGGGTTGCCTTTAAGTTTCTAACAGAGGGTTAACGGAAATGCCCGTTTTAGGCAACAAAATGAAAGTTAGGATTATTTTTGATAAATTTTTGTTTTTTAATTTTTTTTGAAATTTTCATTTAAATTTTTTAAATTACTTTCTACCTCCATCATCATTTCTTTTTCCTTTTTTAAAGATTACTCTTAGTTTAAAAAATAAAAACAATAGATATAAAAAATGAAAAAAAGAGAAATGTAACTAAAATGATACAAAAATAATAAAATAAATAAGGTAATCAATGGGAACTAACTTGAAATTGGAAAAAGTAAAATAAAAATATACGGGTGGGTTTTAATATTTTAGGAATTATACAAAGTATTAACATATCACTTCTTATTTTTTAGAAAAAAATATCTACAATAATTCCAACTTTATCGGATGGCTTGTTCTTTTAAAAAATAAGTAGTACATTACGACTCCGTATAGTGTGTAAAATGTTAAACCCACGACTCCATATATATTTATTTTATTTCTTATCAGTTTCTGTTTAATTTCTATTGATTACATTATTTGTTTGATTAATTTTGTATGGTTTTAGTTATTTTTCTCATTTTCATTATTTTTTATATCTATTTTTTTTCTTAGGTAAGAATAATCTTTAAAAAAGAAAAAGAAATAGAGGTTGAAAGTAATTCAAAAAATTTAAATAAAAATTTCAAAAAAAATTAAAAAACAAAAATTCATCAAAAATAATCATAACTTTCATTTTGTTGCCTAAAACGGGCATTTCCGTTATCCCTCCGTTAGAAACTTAGCGGCGACCCAAAACTGACAAATTTTAGTAAAGTTGGGATTATTATGCATCACAGTGAAAGGTTAGATTATTTTTGAAAGACCGAGTAAAGTTGGGATTATTTTGGATAATTTTTCTATTTATATATATATATATATATATATATATATATATATATATATATATATATATATATATATATATATATATATATATATATATATATATATGAATCTAAGTTTTGTTCCACCTTTAAAATGCTCTTTTTTTAGTATTCAAATTCCACAATCGTTTTTTAAGTTTCATGATCGTTGATCGTTTTAAATTATTCTTTGATTAAATTTTATACTTCTTTCATCCCGTAAACTTTTCAACTTTGATATCTTATTTGTCGTATAAAATATTTCAATTTGAGCTAGATGAACATGATTTCTTTTTTTATTTTTTAAATCTAACTGAACATATCTCAACTAATTTATACGCCCTATTTATTTTGATAATTCTTGAGCCACACACTTTTTAATTATCGTCGTTTTACCTAGATCAAACTTCTATAATTTCTCGTCCCAAAAGTCAAAACAATAAAATAGATTAAGTTAAACTTTGTATTTAATAATATTTTCAAAAGGTCAATAAAAAACAATGCATATTTCATATTTGCACCATAAACATGAATTTTTATGAAATGTGACTAGTTCCGTTTTTTCCCCACACTTTGGATCCGACTCGTGTGAGCCAGACACACTACTCTGTGACTCGCCTGGCTACTCTCTTCCCCTTCAAATCTCCCGGCAACAAATTTCCCGATTGATCGTCGCCGGCTACCGGCAGGTGGAATATCACCGGAGCAGAAACCATGCTGAAATTCTTGAAAGGCGTCGTCGGCGGATCTGGGACGGGCCTCAAGGATCTGCCTTATAACATCGGCGAGCCTTATTCATCTGCTTGGGGCTCCTGGGTTCACTACCGCGGAACCTCCAGAGTAATTCATCTCTTTCTCTACACGCTTCTCGTAATTTAGCCAGTTCGAATTCCTTGATTTTCGCGTTGCGCATAGCTGCATAGCTCATACTCTAGTTTCAATTGTTAATTGGATCAACGTGTTCTAAGTGGTTCAGTTATCTTCGATTTTGTGTCAATTACTCTTCTTATTAGGAATTTAATAAAGAAACTCACAGTAGGATATATAGAAATGGATATGTGAGGCTGCACTTCACATAACTCAAATTATCTTTCTGGCTCTTATATGACTAATGTTGTCACTTCGTAATCTTTAGAGCTGGTCTCTTGCTTCATTTTTTTATTGTCTTTTTGAATCATTTTCACCTCTTATAATGATTCAAACGGCCTCTCTATAGTCTCTACTTTCAAGCAGGGGTAAGGTCTGCCTACACACACTCCTCCCCAGACCCTGCTTTTTGTGGGGTTTTACTAGGTTGTTGTTGTTTCACCTCTAAGCATGAAAATCGAGGACTAGAGTTCTGTTAACTGAGAATGAAGTGATGCATTGTCTGTTTTCTGTAGAGACATTGGCTGTGAAGACATATGCTGCAATCTCAAATTTTGTTTTATATTCTTCTGTTTGTGCCCTTGATGTTTTATTTGGGGAAATGTTAGATTTTAAACCGTAGTTCTTATATTGTCACATTCAAGAATGAAAATTGTGGAATGGAGTTCCATAACAAGGAAATAATCCGTGGTAGTTACATCCTAATAATTTGTTCTGACACGGTGACACATATATCTCTATATTTAATATTAGGATGATGGGGCACCTGTGTCTATATTCGCACTCTCAGGTAGCAATGCAAATGATGGACATTTGGCAGCCGGTCGCAATGGAGTCAAACGACTTCGCACAGTAAGATTTTATTCATTAGAATACTGATACATCTTATTCTTTTTTTGTGTAAGGTTGTGTTTGTGTTTTATTTTAACTCCATGTGCTCTGTCTTCTGCAAAGGATTTCAGTTACACTATTTTACCTTTCTCCTTTATTTTCAGGTCAGGCATCCCAATATTTTATCATTTCTTCACAGCACGGAAGCTGAAACTTTTGATGGCTCAACTGCGAAGGTTACGATATATATTGTCACCGAACCTGTTATGCCACTTTCTGAAAAGCTCAAGGAATTAGGATTAGTTGGTACACAAAGGTATTAATGATCTTGATTGTTTAACTTCTTATACTTTATCGTTTAATCTTTAAAAGACTTTTGGGTAACAGACTTTTATTTAATTGTATGTGAAGTGCTCGTGTAGTCGTGTTCAAAGTACTCCCTCCATCCATTCATTTCTTTCTCGTTTCAAACAGTGTGTAAAACCCTATCTCTTTTAATTTATTTTATTTACAAATTGGGGTGAAATGATTTATTTCTTTTATTACAGGGATGTAGTCTTTTCTTTTCCTTTATTCCCATTTAAGAAATAAAAAACACTTCTGATAGTACATAGGTCTGGTAAGAAATTTTGTTTCCTTCTGAAGTGGTACAAAATGTTGCATGGGCGCAAATGGTTATTTGGTTGGTCTTGCATTTTAATGAGGTTTATGTTGCAGAGATGAGTATTGTGCATGGGGACTGCATCGTATAACCAAGGCAGTGAGCTTCTTGAATAACGATTGTAAGCTTGTAAGCTACTATAAATTCTCATTCCTTGGGGGGTGTAAGCGTTTGTAAAATTCATAATTTATGCTGTTTATGACCCTCCAAGGGTAAAATAATTTTTTCGCGTTTATACAGGTTCATGGAAATGTTTGTGTTTCTAGTGTTGTCGTTACGCAAACTCTGGACTGGAAATTGCATGCCTTTGATGTCCTTTCTGAGTTTGATGGAAACAATGAAGCTTCTTCTGGACCAATGCTGGTAAATGTGCATTCCAAATTATCACCTGGAGTCCTTTTGTTGTTCTCGATGATTAATGCATATGTGATAGTAATATAGACCATAGAGCTCTCGATTTGCATCGCCCATTCCAACGAACCTAAAAGAGTCATTTTGGCAATGTTTTCGCTACAAGTAAATAATGGACAACGTCAAAATGGAAAGTTAAACTTCCCCTCCTTCCTACCTCTATGAACTTTTGGGAAGTAAATGCAGCAGTGCATCAAAGTTCTAATGGAAACCAACTCTGGTTTTTACAGGGGTAAGGTTGCCTACATCTTGACCCCACACACCCCAATGGAGTCAGGATCATACTGTGCGTGTTGTTGTTGTGAACTCTCAAAATGCATGTCATCATTTCTTTAACAGTGTTATTTTAATTTTTTGCCACTGGCTGTTCTCAAGTAACCAAACACGTAGCATTCTTTTCTGTTGTCTGGGTATGCTGGAGGCATTCTACATTTTCATCAGAAAGCATTTCTACACTTTGGCAAACTTGCTATTATAACAAAGTTGTCTCCCTCTTTTTGGTGTGTGACTGTGGGTATTGGAGGACCAAACCTCTTGATCTGCCATCACGAGGGTTGCGTACTTGGAATGAAACTCAAGACTTTTGAACTATGATATGGCCATCAACAGTAAACTACTTAATGCCTTCATACAACCCTCTTTTCTGTGTGGGTATTGGAGGACCAAACCTCTTGATCTGCCACCACGAGGGTTGCATACTTGTAATGAAACTCAATATTTTTGAACTATGATCTAGCCATCAATAGTAAATTACTTAATGCCTTCATACCTTATGCAGCAATATGAATGGCTTATTGGTGCACAGTATAAACCATCGGAGATGCTAAAGTCTGATTGGTCAACAATCAGAAAATCTCCACCTTGGGCTATTGATTCTTGGGGTTTAGGTGAGTATCTACCCATTTTCGTACAATTTAATTTGTATTACTCAATGACTCCCCCTCGCGTAAAAAAGTGCCCCCATGGTTAGGCCCTCAGAATCCGGCAATCATTTTGGATTCATGAAATGTAAGGGATGGGTTTTTACGTTCACACTGTTGACTTTTAGCTGATGTTTTAATTTAGCATATGTTCTGTTTTAATCAAATAAAAATACATTAAATTAGTAAACACTTTAGCATTTTGTTGCCTCCTGTCAGTGAGCTAAAAAAAGTCTTCTCTAAATGTCTGGTTCTTTTGAATCAGAAATTTTGATTCAAAAGATTTGTTTCTTCTTTTTTATATCTCTCATGAACACCTTCACAGCTTTTGCATGTAGCTGAAAGCTTTGTTTCACATTTTTCTAAAAATTCTTTAGTTATTGAAGATGCATTTAAGTTCACACAAATATTATGCACTTCTTGCCTATAGCATTAGATGGTATGTACTCCCTTTGTCCCTAATTTAAAGTCACTATTTCTATTTTTAGTGGCCCATAATTGGAGTACACCTTAAGGAAAATGATATATGGCTCAAAATATCTCTCTCTTCTAAACAAATTCTAACCACTCATTTTTTATTTTTCAACACTTCTCTTAAGCTCTGTGAAGTCAAGGAGTGTATGATTATACAAAATTCTCTCTGCAGCTTAAACAATTGTGTTGTTATCAACCAACACTAACTTTGATGAACACTTTTGTGTCAATTAAGACTCTTTAGCCATCATGTTCTTTGTTCCATAAGACTGCGTACATCTTGACACCAGACGGTAGACTCCAAGAAAGTTGGGATGGTATTGTGTTTGTTGTTGTACTGACTTGTTGTGAAACACATACTATAAAATATTGGCTTTTGTGACTGGAATTATAATGAAATGCATGCAGTAATGCATGATCACTCTCACTCTTTACGGGCATTTGGTTAATTTGGGGAAAATATGACTTCTCTGGAGTAGTGCTTATGATGACCTTTGACTAATCTCAAATCTCAAGCATGTTATTTGGCTAAGTGATAAGTTTTTCTATGCTACAAACTAATTATTCAGCTTCTGGTTATTTATCAGGCTGCTTTATTTATGAACTTTTTTCTGGTACAAAGTTGAGCAAGACGGAGGAATTGCGCAATATATCTTCCATTCCTAAGGTAATTATTTTAGCTACTATTATTGTTATCCTGTTTTTATCTCATTCTCTTTGAGGGGTGGGGGAGGACAGGATGGTAGATGGATCATTGCCGGAATGAAAATGTATTTCACTAAAACCTTTAGAGTTAGAAGTTCTTAGATTAGGATTCTTTACTTAGACAGTTATAATCTTCCAGTGATCAATAAATTCATTTGTTTGCTATTTTTATCAGTCTCTGCTTCCAGATTATCAACGTCTCTTGAGTGCTACACCTGCTCGCAGGTTAAATTCATCTAAGCTTCTAGAAAACAGCGGTAAAGTTTTATTTAACCATTCACTGCCTCTTTTTCCTTGTTAGAATAAAAAAAACCATCCATATGCCTACAACCACAAGATTGAGGTTGTGGTTGAGTTGGTTTCTTGACATGGTATCAAATTTAGCTTGACCAAAGAGGTCCCGAGTTTGAACCTCACCGCCACCTAGTTTTTTAAAAATTAAGGTTTCATGTGCAAGGCTTGAAGCGACCATGCCCCCTGGTGAGGGGGTGCGTTAAAATATATAAAACCTTTTTTGGGCCTGCAACCACAAGCTTGAGCTTGTGGTTGAGTTGTTTCATTGACAAACTTCTTCAATAGCTTGTCCTTTTTTGTCTTATACTTTGTAATATCATTAAACCTTCTATAGCTTTTTACTAGCAATATGCCATTGGTCAAAGGTTTTGCTCTAGTTACTGCCCAAGAGTTGAAAATTGAAACTCAATGTTTTGTAGTGCATATCATCATTATACCACAGTCATGTCACTAATGATTTGGTGCTGAACTTATTTTTTCCTTTTTACTTGTTTATCGACAGAATACTTTGAAAATAAATTGGTAGAGACAATACAATTCATGGAAATTCTTAATTTGAAGGATAGTGTTGAAAAGGACACTTTCTTTCGGAAACTTCCAAATTTAGTAGATCAACTTCCTCGTCAGATAGTGGTGAAAAAGGTAGTCATATCAAGACATCACAGAACCACAAAATATTTGTAGCATTTAATGAAAGAAAAGTAGGCTTAACATGTTCTGTTTCATGCAGCTGCTTCCTTTGCTTGCATCTGCTCTAGAATTTGGCTCAGCTGCTGCACCTGCTTTGACAGCATTTTTGAAAATGGGTTCTTGGCTTTCAGCAGAAGAATATAATCTCAAGGTCATACTCTTACTCCAACTTGACGACACCAGAAGTTTATCCAAAAGAATAAAACTATAGCATGTTTTACATTCATCATTCCATAAAGGACATTTTTTGTTACTTTGTTTTTTCTAAGGTGCGATTTCCCCTGTCCATAGGTACTACCTACAATCGTAAAACTTTTTGCTTCCAATGATCGGGCAATACGAGTTAGTCTACTGCAACATGTTGATCAATTTGGGGAGTCATTATCTTCACAAATTGTTGATGAACAAGTATGCAAATAAGGGTCAATTTAGGCTTCATTTTATTTGGAAACAGCAATGAGTACAGAAATGCTCATCACATTATTTTTTTGTTAGGTTTACCCTCATGTTGCTACTGGATTCTCTGATACATCTGCTTTTCTTCGGGAGTTGACTCTTAAGTCTATGTTAGTTCTGGCACCTAAGGTATGTGAATCATGTACTCCATCCTATAGTTATATAAGCTTCATTTGGGGTTGGCATGCTTTTGCAAAAAATAAAGGAGACATTTGTTATTTTACCAAAAAGATGAAATGATAAGGTGGATAAAATGATAGGTGGATAAAATGCAAAGTAAAAAGTTAATGCAATTTAAATAAGGAAGTACTCCCTCAGTCTTAAAATGAAGTTTACTGACTTCAAGGAGTTCAAGAAACACGTTGAAAAGTAAACAGTGTGGTTGAGATTTGTTTAAAAGGGAGAGAAATGATGTGAGCCACATATTCTTTTTCTTAAAAAGAAATGAGATTAGTGCAAAGTTTGTTTTGGGACATCCTGAACAGGAAATTGTAAACATTATTTTGGGACAGAGTGAGTAAAACATTATTTTGGGATGGACAAAAAAAGAAAATATATATGACAAAATGGAACACAAGGAGTAATGCATTTTTTTAATATAGAAAACGACACATGAAATAGAGGATTAGAGGAATAGAAGGAGTGTAATAATTTGGTAAACTTGTTTGTAAATCGATGTTTCATAATGTTTCCAATTGACTAGTGTGGTATTTTTTTTCCAATTTCTTTCACTCACGTATATTAATCTGAGTATTCTTCTTCTTATCTCTCTCTGAATTGTAATTGTAGCTGTCCCAACGCACAATATCAGGATCATTATTGAAGTATCTCTCTAAGCTTCAGGTATTGCATCATACTCATGTGTATAAATTGTACTTTTTAACTTTTTTTTGGAATGTCCGTAAATTTAGTCTTTCCTTGTACTTATCTGGCAAAGAAGCTGTTACCTTTACGGCTTTACTGTACTCTTCTAATATCTCCACCTACCACCATTGATTGTTTCCACATAATTCAATGGCAAGCTTGGAAGTAAAAACAAGGATTCATTAAAAACCTTGCCAAGTTTCAGCGTGAACCTTATTAAGGAATACAAGGAGTACTATGCTATTCTGTCTGTGATGTGCTGTTTGCTGACATGTTCATCTGTGCTTGATGTAGGTGGATGAAGAGCCAGCAATCAGAACAAATACAACTATATTACTTGGAAATATTGCCAGTCACCTTAATGAAGGGGTAGGGAAGAGCTGAAGAATATTACTGCTTTGAGATTGGAGTAACCTGATCATATCATTTAACATTTGATATCCATGTACAGAGTTTCTTTTTGGTTTTGACAATAATCTTATGAAAGCCTATCTGATTTATTTCCTTAATACAGACGAGGAAAAGAGTTCTAATAAATGCATTTACTGCACGTGCTCTGCGTGACACATTCTCGCCAGCCCGAGGAGCAGGTAGATTACTGGAATCTCAATTTTTATTGGTCTATTTTCAGAACCCTTGCCAAATTTATTTTATTCCAGCTCTGTTTCTTGGTCCTTTGGCAAAACTCCATGACTTCATTCATGTCTCCCCTTCTCTTCTCTTCTCTTCGTCTTTGTGTTCTTTTAATCTATGAATGTGGATACTCTTTCGGATACAGGTGTTATGGCTTTGTGTGCCACTAGTTCTTACTATGATGTGACAGAGATTGCGACACGAATTTTGCCAAACATTGTTGTCCTTACCATTGATCCCGACAGGTATATATAGAAGTTAAATTAATTGTCTCAAATCATTTTTCTGCTGCTCTTAGTAAGTTGGATCAGTCTTGTTCTATTCATGTCCACAATTCCACATAGGTGTAATATTTTTGGGTTAAAAATGATTTACGTACAATTTCTGGGCCTCTGATATCTTTTATTTTCTATGCTGAAGTGATGTAAGATCAAAAGCATTCCAAGCAGTGGATCAATTCTTGCAACTAGTGAAACAACACGATAAGGTACATTTTTACATGAACCGTGTAATCAAATTTTAAGAAGTAGTTTTACCTTGTGTCCCCTTTTTTTGCCATAACTTTTACATTTTTTCCTTTGGTACTCTGTAGTCAAGCACAGGAGATGCTACTGGAATAGGCACACAAACAACCTCTATTCCTGGAAATGCAAGTTTGCTTGGGTATGTTAAGACACTTTCATCTAGCCTTTGAGTTTGTTTGTATATACTTGCATGTGTGATCATTTAAACTCTGTGGGCGCCCCTGTTTTTTGAGTTTTTTGGTGGACCTTTTTATTTTTCCATTTAGTAAAAACATAGAGCACTCTTTAATTTTTCTCAATTTAACTTTTCAGAGATTTAATTAAATACAAAGCACATTGGAAAACATGAAAAGAAAAATGAAATTTATTGTTTCAGATGTGTAGAAAAGGATTAATCGCCTTCTCCCAAAAACAGTCATGTTTTATAAGCTTCCTTTGTCACAAAAAAGTCATATTTCAACAAACAAAGACAATTTTTCAAGTAATGTGCCACAAGGGTTACAAACAAGTTAAGTATGATGCTAAACCAAAACACTAATTTTAAAAATATTAGAATTTCACTGAACAGTTGTACCTTAAACCAAACATGACTATCCTTTTGGGACATTTTTTTTAAAATTTTGGTAGATTAGCTACGTTGTGATTAATTTACAAATTTTATACAACTTTTTAAATAAATATGATCTAGAATTGCAATAAAGTGGATGGATAAATAGGATCAGGTGTAGTTAATACTTAATATGTTTCTATGCATTAATGACTTCATGGTTCACTGATGAATACTCGATAAATACATCTATTTTTTTAATATTAATGCAGCTGGGCAATGAGCTCGTTGACCCTCAAAGGCAAACCTTCTGAGCATAGTTCTGTTGCATCTGCAAATTCTACCGCACCACTTGTCTCTTCTATTTCTAATGCTAGCTCGGGTAAAACATCTTTTCACCATTATTGTAAAAATCTCTCCATAGCACTGATTAATCCCGGCCTTTTGCCGCATTCTATTTTTTTCCCCGCTCAAGCCTCATTTTCACTTCTTAGATCATGCCACTTTGTTTGCTAATCTTTCTACTTTTATAAACTCAACCAACTTTTTTAAAGGGGCATTTGCTTCACAAAAAATATAATACTATCATAGCCTAAATCAGTTTTGCATTTACTTCCCAAAAGATCATTGAAAGTCAGAAGCTTGGGAAGTTAAATATGTTATTTTGATTTAGTTCAATATTTACCAGAAGCTAGAACATTGCCAACAATGACACTTAGCTCCGTTGTAGACATAAAATATATCTATTAATTGTGGAAGCACACGGTTCTTTTGACACGCATTTGGGTATCATAATATGACACATGGGCCTACAGTGCTCCGTTCCCCCTTCCCTTCCACCTTAGCCCCTAGCATTTTTGTGGAAATGCTAGGTGGGCTGGGGGGGTTGTGTTTGGGGTGTGAGTTAGTGGGTAGTACCCAGTTTCGGGTCCAACGGAGCTTCGTAGGACCCTCAAATGACTTGGTGTCAAAAGATCCTTGTCCATGTGGATGATACGTAGTATAAACTAAGCTCTCCAAAACTTTCCCCTCCAAACAACCCTCCATCCAAACAAATCCTTAGTGGATACTGAAAGCTATTGTTCTGCTTATTAAAAGTAGATATTTTACCTCTTCTACACTTTCAAATTTCCCTTACTAGTTACCAGTCAATTTTGTTATGATACATGTCCTTATTAATTACAATGGTGATGCAGTTACAGATGACGCAAATATAGCTCAAATCCAAGTTCGTTCTAGTTCTGGCACTGATATTGCTGACCAGCCAGCTCCTGCTTCCCCTACTTCTACTGATGGATGGGGAGAGCTCGAAAATGGAATTGTAGACGATGGAGAAAACGGATGGGATGATATGGAACCACTTGAAGAGCAAAAGCCACCTACAGCTCTTTCAAACATCCAAGCTGCTCAGAAACGTCCTGTCTCTCAACCTAAATCTCAAGGTAGGCCCAGGCCATTATGTTGTAAAAAAGTCGCTACGACACTGCAACTGTGTGCCTCCCCCCTAGTTTAGGGTTAATCTAGGTTAGTCAGGTTCTGAGTAGAATTAGGAGGGGCTAAAGAAACTATAAAATCTAGGCGTCCTGGCGCCTAAGAAGGGATTTATATAGCATTATGAATAGAATACTAGGCATTCAAAAAGGCCAAAAGGGTTTGAGCCGAACCCTCTCACAATAGAAATTGTTAGCATATAAAACCTTCTTGGCCCTACAACCACTAGGCATGGAGTAACGTAACATGTAGTCCACAACCACAAGGTTTTATAGCTTCCACAAATAATAGTGGTTGAGTTGGTTCCATAACATGTTACAGTCTTACAGAGCCTTTTTGATCAACAAGTCATGAGTTTGAACCTCGCTGTGCCCAGTTCTATGAACTTAATGTTCACGTGTTACTGTTAAGCTCGAGCAAAAATAAAGAAGAGGGGCATAAAGAATGGGGAGAAGATAGATTTAGAGCTTGTTTGGTGAGCACATGATATCAAAACTCTTTTGTGGGTGTTTGATGAAGCCTATACAGGGTTCAGCGTTGATATCCCCCGATATCACAATCCTCGTGATGCTGGGAGATGGCAATTCAATGTTTTGATATCTCCCTCAACCGCTAGCCACCGCTGTCAGTCTGTCACCACCCATGGTCGACAGCCATCACTAACAGCCATCCACTGTCACGGTGTCACTGGCCGCCATATTAGATTCTCCAAATACTTTCATTTTAGATTTTATATTTTATTGATTTCAGAAACCATATCTTATTGATCATGTTTCGCTCACCAAACGTGTCCTTAGAGACATTAAGTGCCCATTTTCACCTGAATCTTCCGATTGGAAAAACATCTAGAAACCTCCATTCCAGCCAAATAAGCAAGTCAAAAGCTACTTATTTTGCTAGATAGCCTAATCAACAAAATTGATCATTTGTTTTTAATTTTTTTTACCATATGTTTCAGTTTCTATTCCGAGACCAAAGAGCATATCCAAGATGAACTCAGATGAAGATGACCTGTGGGGATCTGTAGCTGCACCTGTCCCAAAAACGTCCAAAGCCGCAGGCTCAAGAGCAGGCGGCTATGATAACGACCCTTGGGACTCCGTGGGCACCGCTTCAAGAACGACAGCCAAAAAGACCGAAACCTCCGCCGAGGATGATCTATGGGGTTCCATTGCTGCTCCCATACCCACGACCACATCAAGACCGTCCGTTGGGCGGGCCCGGAGTAAACCCACCGCTCCCAAATTAGGTGCTCAAAGAATTAACCGAACGTCATCCGGCGGGGTGTGAAGCATGAGATTTACTGGCATACATAGTATATATATCTATATATATTTTTTCTAACCATAATATCATATACTCCTTATGTAATAGTACCATTAGTTCTCTCAGAAAGCTACCATTTTTTGGGGGCACTTATTGCGTAATTCAATTCTTTATAAATAATCAAAATTCTTTAGACTTTGGGATGTTGTCTGCCTTTCATAAAGTGAGGAAAAAAGTGTTCTAATATGATTTGTAATTTACGGCATTGGTGAGCATTGTGAAATAATATTTAATATATTCCCTCTGTGTAATGTGTTTTTCTACTTTTATTTGTACATGTGATAAATAAAATAGGTGTCATAATTTAACACCCGAAGTAATATAAATTTTCTCATTTCCCATGGTAACTTTTATTATCAAGAATTTTATTTATCATAAAAAATTATACAAACATGGATATAACATTTGTACTAGTAACTTCGTATATGTGCAGTTAACCAAAGCAAACTTATACTCCCTGGCCGTATATTTTTAAAAGAGAAAAGTACACCGTTTACTTCGAATTCTTTAAAAATTACATGATTTATTCCTGAACATTAAAGAGGGCACAGTTTATCCTCAAATTATTTGAAAATTGCACGATTTACCCTTGAACATTAAAAAGTGCACCAAATACTCTTGAACAATTTAAAACGTTGCATTGTTGGTCCTAAAATGCTAGATGGGGAATGCGTTGCTCGCACGCACGAAAATTGCGAATATGATTCATCTGACCCTTGTGAATTGCAAAGTACTCTTCCCCAAAATTATCACATTTATTTAAATGTTCAGAGGTGAATTGTACAATTTTAAAAAAGTTTAGGAGTATTTGATGCATTTTTTCATGTTAAGGAGAAACTGTGCAATTTCTAAAGAATTCAGGAGTATTTGTTGTACTTTTTTATACTCAGGAATAAACCATGCAATTTTTTGAAGAATTCGGGAGTAAACAGTATACTTTTTCTCATTTCTAATATAGAGAATGTTTAAAACACCTATATATCTTGTTTGAGTGTATCACATAATAAATCATATTATCTCTGTCTCAAAAAATCTTTCATGTTTTGATTTTTTTAAGTCATATAGTAACATTATGTGGCTATAAATTGTGAATATATATATATATATATATATATATATATATATATATAATTTAATATAAGTTCAATATAGTCAGATTCATCTTAGGATATACACCGTAGTTTTAATATATCAAAATTTTATACTCGTAATATTTATTTGAATTATACGGAGTGCTTAATTTATACTCCCTCCGTCCCGTTTTAAATCATCCGTTTTGACTTTTGGTTATATTTAAGGAAAATTAAAAATAGAGTTGATTTTTTGAAATTGTCAAATACTTTTTATGAGGGATGATGATGAATGAGAATATAATGTGGAGAAGATTGACTTATTTTAGAGGTAGTTTAGGTATTTTATTTTTAAAAGTTTACGAAAACAACTAACAGACAACTTATTTTGGGACGGAAAAAAAGACAAACAGGTAATTTAAAATGGGACGGAGGTAGTACTAAAAAGTGTTACTATTTGACCAAAGAAGAAAGGCAAAAAAAATGACTTTGGGACGTGGTAATATTTTGTACTTATTTAATAACGTCTTATTCATAAACGTATATATTGTCGTATTATATTGAGTATATGATTATGCCATATTACACTAACTTAAGTTTTTTTTTTGGGAAAATGAGTTTATCTTCTAAAAAGCCACAAAAAAAAAGGAAAGTACGGAGTACATAGCTACCCCCACACATTTCTTTTCCATCTGCTCCTTTTATTAATTACAGTAATTACTCTTTTTTACCCACTAAATAAAGACTCTGTCCGCCTCTCAGACAAACAGCTAGAAAATAAAGTGAGCCTTTAATGCTTCACTGTCTCACTGTTTTCGCCGGAAAACCACCCCACGCCGCCGTCACATTTTCCGACTCGCCTTCTCTCGCGCCTGCCAAGCACCGCCACTTCTCCGGTGCCGGCTATTTACATTCCCGGCGACATCTCATCATCTCGGGGTCCTAACTTACCATTCCATTTCTGGTAATGGAATTCTCCTTCAAATCAACTTTAATCTCTTGACAATTATTGGCTTCTTTTATCTACTTTTATCTCTTTCCGTATTCATCTCTCGGTTCTTTCACTTTTTCTTTTGTTGATTTGAGCTTTTCCCACTTTTTTCCCACTTTCCCTTCACTGGGGATTTTACAAGTTCAATTTCTAAGGGTTTGTTCTTTCCAGTTTAGCTATCTTTTGATGTTTTATTGTAGTTTCCTGTTCTGGGTTTTTCTCTAAAGTCTTCATTTCTAGCCGTTGTGAGAAAAAAGATAAGATTTTTTAGGGCTAAAGATTTGAAAACAGTCATTTTCAGCTCCAGTGCTCTATAAACAAGAAATAAAAGGAGGGAAAGGCGGCATCTTTATGGGTTGAGCTGCATCTTCATGATTTAAGATGGAAAGGGTGTTCTTTGTTCTGTTCCTGAATGTTTTAGCACCCTTTTTGGTCAGTGCGGTGTACCCTTCATTGAATGATGATGTTCTAGGGTTGATTGTGTTTAAGGCTGACATTCAAGATCCATATGGAAATCTGACTTCTTGGAATGAGGAAGACGAAAGTCCTTGTTATTGGAAAGGAGTCAGATGTGGACATGGCCGAGTCACCGAGCTTAATCTTGCTGGGTTTAGGCTTTCAGGAAAGATTAGTAGAGGCCTTCTTAGGTTGCAGTCTCTTAGAAAGCTTTCTCTTGCGATGAACAATTTTACAGGAGGGTTGAATGTCAATTTTACCCTGCTTCCTTATCTCGAGACGATAAACTTGAGCGGGAATCGCTTATCTGGGCAAATCTCCAGGGATCTTTTTCAAGAATGTGGGTCCTTAAGATCACTTTCTTTGGCTAATAACAACTTTTCGGGTGAGATCCCCGAGAGCTTGGGGATGTGTTTGGGATTATCCTCCTTGAATTTGTCTTCAAATCAGTTTGCGGGACAGTTACCCTTTTCCATCTGGTCTTTGAATTACCTAAGGTTTCTTGATCTGTCATATAATTTGCTCGAGGGAGAGATTCCAGACAATGTTGAAGGTTCGGGAAATCTGACAGAGTTATATCTGCAGAAAAATCAATTTAAGGGCAAAGTGCCCTACTGGATAGGGAGCTGTTTGCTGCTGAGGGTCCTGGATTTGAGCCAAAATTCTTTTTCTGGGGAACTTCCTGATACCATCCGGAATCTAGGGCTGTGCCGTGACCTAATCTTGAGACACAACGCTTTTTCGGGTAACTTACCAGAATGGGTAGGGGTAATGAGAAACCTTCAGACTTTGGATGTTTCAGAAAACAACTTTTCGGGCATGGTTCCAATGTCACTCGGTCATCTCAAGTCACTAAAGCTATTGAACCTATCCAAGAATTCCATTTCGGGTAGCTTGCCCGAGACCACAGGGAGTTGCATAAAGCTTCAATCTTTAGATGTTAGTCACAACTCTTTATCTGGTGAAATCCCTTCTTGGTTAAACAAGCTTGTCGGGTTGCAGCAGATTATTTTTTCTGTGAATAGATTTACAGGGCAAATACCTTTGGTTCTTGAAAATCTCAATGGCTTGATATTCTTGAATCTGTCGGGAAATGCACTTACAGGAACCATTCCTAAGAGTATAGGAGGATTGAAATCCATGAATATGCTTGATTTGAGTGGGAATCTATTGAATGGTAGTATCCCTTTGGAAATCGGCAGGATGACCTCTCTAAGGGAACTGAAGCTACAGAAGAACAACTTGACTGGAGAAATTCCGACTTCGATAGGGAACTGTTTGGCACTAGTGTCACTGTAAGTTCCCTGTAATTCCCTTTTTATCTTCTTTCTTGAATTCTATATGGCTGCAACAGTTTTCATTTACTGAATATGTATACATAGCAGAAATGGTTTGTATGTTTTTTTTGTGTGTGTGTTCATACTTCGTTCTTGGTACAGTGGGTTCTTTGTTCGTACGGAAATGAAACTTCCTATCTTTTTATCCCTCAAGTGGAAGTGTTGACACTTTGAAACGCCCTGCTGTTTGGCATTGTGTGTTGGCATTTTACAGTGTTTTTTTGGCATTATGTTTTGACCTTATTTAACATTATAAGTCATATTTTCGTATAAAAACAATGAAGGTCATATTTTGGTATATATGGAGCATGTTTTAGCCCTAGTTAGAATATCAAAATGGGTATTCAAGTCAATTTATACTCCCTAAACCCCACAATTTGTGTTTCATTCTTTTTTTTTCTTTCTCTGTTCGTCCCAAAATAATGCCTTTCCTTTTGCAGGTTTCTTTCAAAGAACAACCTAAGTGGTCCAATACCCGCCACGCTGGCAATGCTCACTGCCCTTCGACACGTGGATCTCTCCTTCAACTCACTCACCGGGAGAATACCAAATCAGCTAGCTAACCTCCCGAACCTCTCCTCGTTCAATATCTCGCACAACCGTCTCCGCGGCGAATTGCCTGGCGGCAAATTTTTTAACACCATTCCGCCATCCTCCGTCTCCGACAACCCCGCCCTTTGTGTGGCCGCTCCCGGAAAGCCGTGCCACTCCGTCCTTCCCAAACCCATTGTGTTGAATCCCGATGACGTGAGTGCCTCCACCCCTTCCGCCTCGGACGGCTCCGTCCCTCAGAATTTCACCCATAAAAGGAAGAAGAAAGTCTTCAGTGTTTCCGCCCTCATAGCCATCGGTGCTGCCGTGGTCATAGTCGTCGGAATGCTCACCGTCACCGTCTTGAATCTCACTGTACGGTCCGACACCGCAGACTCTCCTCGGGCCGACCCGACATTCTCCGGCATCGACGAGTTAAGTCGCTCGTCGTCTACGGATGTGGACTCGGGCATGTTAGTCATGTTTTCAGGTACCCGTGGTTTCGATGCGGGTGCCCATCACCCTCTACTTAACAGGGAATGCGAGGTCGGTCGGGGCGGGTTCGGGTCCGTATACAAAACGGTTCTGAGCAATGGGCGACCGGTGGCAATCAAGAAGCTGGCTGTTTCCAGCCTGGTCAAGTCTAGAGAAGAGTTCGAAAGGGTGGTCGTAAGATTGGGTAAAGCCCGCGGGCACCCGAATGTGGTCGGGCTTGAAGGGTATTATTGGACTCCGGCATTACAGCTTCTCATCTACGAGTTCGTGGAGGGAGGGAATCTGCATAAACGGCTCCACGAAATGTCGGGCCCGAATTTGACTTGGGCCGAGCGGTTCAACGTAATTCTTGGGTCGGCCAAGAGCTTGGCCCATTTGCATCAAATCAACATTATCCATTACAATGTGAAATCAAGCAACATCC